GGCGCAAGATCTCAATGCTAATGAGCGTGCAGGGCATGGACTGCCCTTCGTGTGCTTCGAAGGTCACTCGCGCCTTGAAGACCTTGCCGTCTGTGTCGGACGTTCAAGTCAACAGTTTCTCGGGCCAGGCCACCCTCACATATCGTGAGGGCGCCGTCCTACCTTCCGACATCGCGAAACGGACCAGCGAGCTTACCGGCTTCAATTGCTGCGTTCTCCAAGAAGAGCTCCCTGAAGGCCAGCGCCGCGTCTTGCGCGTCGCCCTGCCTTTGGCTTCCGCAAGCAGTCTCGATCAGGCAGACCTACCTCCATATGTGACGATCAAGTCCTCCACGGGCCCCACCGGGCAGATTATCCTGGACATTGATTACGATTCATCCGCGATTAAACCGCGCGAGGTTCTCAACATCTTCTCTTCATTCGGTGGCGTCGCCCTTCCTTCTGCCAAGCTCGACGATGCTGGCGTCGCACAGAAAGAGCTTATGGCTCTGTTGTATCGAACAACCATATCCGCCGCATTATGCATCCCAGTGCTTGTATTCTCATGGGCGCCTATCTCTCGTCATCCCATCGCGTACGGAGCGTGCTCCTTCGCGCTGACCACCGCAATCCAAGCCTATGTCGCCTCGCCTATCTATTCGTCCGGTCTTCGTTCGCTGTTCCTCCAGCATATTCTCGATATGGATCTCCTGGTCTCCCTCTCTTCCAGCATCGCGTACGTCTTCTCGGCGGTCGCGTACTTCATGCTCGTCGCCGGGCACGAATTCTCCGACCCGCTCTTCGAGACACCGGCGCTGTTGATCACCCTGATCACGCTTGGACGCCTGATATCGGCTTACGCGCGTCGTCGGTCCACTTCCGCGCTGGACAGCTTGCGCTCGCTGCAAGCTGATACAGTGGACCTGGTCGACCCCATCAAAGGCGTTACGTCGATCCTTTCGGAACTCGTTCACATTGGGGATGTCCTTCAAGTGTCGGCACACGCATTGGTCCCTACCGACGGCGTTGTAGTCGCCGGGCACAGCAGCGTAGACGAGGCTTCCATCACCGGCGAGAGCGTGCCGGTAGAGAAGGTCGTCGGTTCGCCACTCACCGCTGGTACCCTTAACGGTTCGGGTCTCCTCAACTTCAGGGTCGAGCGCGTACCGTCAGACAACACCGTCTCCAGCATCGGCAGGCTGCTCGCGGAGATACAGGGCGCGCGTCTTCCCGTTCAAGACATCGCCGACCGCGTCGCTTCGTATCTCGCTCCGGTCATCCTCGTCGCTGCCGTCGCTGTGTTCTCCATATGGATCGCTGTCGGCATAGCCGTGCGAGGACAGTCGTCGAGCAAGGCGGGCATCGATGCGCTACAGTATGCTATAGCAGTCATGATTGTCTCGTGTCCGTGTGCCCTGGTGCTCTGCGTGCCGATGGTGGTCGTTATCTCTGCGGCCGTTGCCAGTAGGAGCGGAATCCTCTTCAAGGTTCGTGTCCGCGGACCTCTATAGCTTGCGCAAATCACTGACATTGTTACTTGTTACAGTCTGCACAAGCCGTACAGTACTCCAAGGACATCACCATCGCCGTCTTCGACAAGACAGGAACCCTCACCACAGGCGAACTTCAAGTTGCGCAAACATTCTTCGCGCGGGACGATGCTCGGGCTATCGCACTCGCACTTGCATCGGGTAGTCATCACCCCGTTGCGCGCTCAGTCGCAATGCATCTCCAGGGCGCGTCATCGGTGGATCTGAAGGATGTGAAGTCAATCCCTGGCCGCGGCATCGAGGCGAGGCTCTCAGGCCGCGTCGTTCGCGGCGGAAGCCCCGCTTGGCTCGGAATCGCCGACCATGCAGTCGTGAAGGAAATGCAATCGCAGGCCCTGACAATGTTCGCGGTAGTCTGTGATACGGAGCTTCACGCTGTCTTCGGTCTCCGCGATACTTCCCGCCCCACTGCGCGCGCCGCCATCAAACTCCTCGGCGACCGTGGGATCGCCTCTTACATCGTTAGCGGCGATGCTCAGCCTGTTGTGTCCGCCCTAGCCGTAGAGCTTGGCATCCCTTCCGATCATGCCATCGGCGCTTGTCTTCCCGAGACCAAGTTGGAGCGCGTTCGCGCGCTGCAAGGCACCGGGCCGACCGCAAAGCGCGTCCTCTTCGTCGGCGATGGTACGAACGACAGTCTTGCGCTCGCCCAAGCGGACGTCGGTCTTTCCCTCGGTTCTGGCACCGATATCGCCCTTTCCGCCGCGGACGTCGTTGTGCTCGATCCAGAGCACACCGTGGACCTCGCCCGGGCGATGCGCGTCGTCCTGGGCATCTCACGTGGGGCTGTGCGTCGCATCGCGCTCAACTTCGTTTGGGCATTCGTGTACAACGCCGTGGCGGTTCTGTTCGCGGCTGGCGCGTTCGTGGATGTCAGGCTTCCACCGCAGTACGCCGGACTTGGGGAGATGGTTAGCGTCTTACCGGTTGTCGTTGTGGCGTGGAGCATGTGGTTGGTGCGATGGTGAATGAATTCCTCAGGACGGTACTTGATGTTTTGTCCTATGCTACGACGGGTGTACGATAGTTCACGAGCGTTGTTGTTGATCATGACAGGTCTGAGCAACCTTGCTCATAGTTATATAGCCGGTTGAAAATCAATGTATGTTTTCAGCCAAGTCGGGGAAGACGCCCATGGTTATCTTTCTGCTTCGCAAATTGATAGGTACCGAATTTCGTCCCACGTCAACCTCATGTACTGCAACGTCTCCAAAAACGGATGTGAGCCTACGCCGGGCGACGTCAGATGGGTGTGGAAGCTGTCGCCGCTCGCTCGCATCCATCCTCAACGGACAGCGTGACTATATGCGCCTAACACAGTTCGCATATATAGTACCATTGTGACATCTTTCACTGCAAGCACCATGGACGAACCATTTTCGCCCACCACGGCCACTCAAGTCAGAATTAAGCCGCCACTTATTCTCGAGCTTCACCAAGCGCAACTGGTGTTCATCCCAACGGACGGATTCCGGACGTGCTTCGTAACGTCGCTTTGGGTTCACACCACCCTTCCAACGCCGACTCAAGAAGAGGATGAGGTATACGAGAGGCACCAGGAGGAGATCACGGTGGGTAGATCATGTTTCGCAACGGGCGAAGGGTTGAAGTTGCTTGCAGACTTTGTTGTTGAAGCTCGCGACTCGACATCTTCAAAGACCATTCGCAGATGGGACGTTTCCATGCACTATTGATGGTCCTAGCTATAGATTACATATTGGTGAGTACGGTATGCGCAACAGTTACAACCTGCTCAGAGTAGACGTGCATATAGTCACGCGTCCGTGGGCGCTCGGGCCAAGCCTAGGGCTGGGATGGGGTAGGAAGAGCGTAGAGGCAGCAGCGGAGAAGTGGCAGGTGCAGTTTGAGACCGTGTGATGATGGACGAAAGCATACAAAGCAAAGCAATGAAACAATGTACGAAGGGAGACAAGCGTCTACATGTCCTCAACACCCCAGTTGTGGGCAGCTTGTTGGTGAAGTCGTCGCTCGTTCTGCTTCTGGAAGAGTTTCTTCTCGAAACCGTTCGAGCGATCGACACCGTCCCATCGGTAGCCAGGTTTGATGCCAAACCTATTCGGAGGTGGTAGCGGGCCCTTGTATTCGGGCTTCCGTGGGCCTTTACTTCGCTTCTTCTACCAGGGAATGTCAGCGTCATCAATGCATGATCAAGCTGTGGCACGTACTGTCAAGAACGCGGCTGCGGGGTCATTCCAAATCTCCTTGTCCTTCTGACGCGCATTGAGCTCCTCGTCGTCGCGTGTCCTTCGCCAGTCAGTGCCTTTGATGGCTTCGAGGTGTTTGCGCTGCTCCGCGGCCTCTTCGCGCTGCTTGACACCCTTGCCCCACTCCTTCCGTTCTTTGTCCTTCTCCTCCTTCTCCCGCTTCTTCCTTGCCGCCTCAGCTTTCGCCGCATCCATATCGATCTTCCGCCCAGACGCGTCACGGTACACCGTCTCCTGCGCCTTCTCGTCCTGTTCCGGCTCGTTCTTCTTCTTCTCCGCCTCCGCCCGTGCCATTCGTTTCTGCAACTCCTTCCGTGACATCAATCCAGCCCTCATCCCGCTTCCCTCAGCCTCAACCACTTGCGGCGCCTCATCCTCCGGCGGTGGCGGTGTCGGTTCTCGTATGGTCGTCCATCCACTGCTCTCGTCCTCCTTCCCCTTCTCTGTTCTCCGCTTCTTGAACGCTCGATCCGCGGCAACCACCGCCTCGGCCGCCTCGTCCGCATCCTCCTCTACCGGTGCAGCCCAGTCAGCATCGTCATCTTGAATGATGCCGGGGCCCGTCGGTGCCACCGATGCAGGCGCTTTGCGTTTCTTCTTCTTCTTCGTAGGTTCAACACGGGAGAGGATCGCGTCCGCTTTCGGACCGGACATATATTTGGACGCGAGGTACGCTTGCATAGAGGACATAGTCGAAAGGTATAGATCGTGGGCGGCAGGCAACGAGAGGCGACAAGTGGGAATTGGGAGACGCAGTGGTGGTGGTGGTGGTAGTTGTAATCGCGACACGCGGAGGTGTCGAACGCACGAGCCCAGCATCTGCGGCGCGCCAGCACGCAGTTGGGATTGACCAGCTTTCTTCCACCGTTCACGAACAATACATGAATCATTACTGTACTCTGCTTTGCTATGACATACAATCACGCTGACCATTCATATCTACTGCATCTACTCCGGTGTCAACGGCTCGTTTCCTGTGCCACTGTTGCATATGTATCATGACGCTTTGAAGACCCATTTCGCATCCAATGAACGCCTTCTCCTTCGCCAGCGCTCGTATTACCTTTTTGCCCCTTTCTATGCGCTCCTGGTAGACCTCAGGTTCGATGGAAGACGGTGGACCGTCCGACATGAAGCATCCTGGGTCAGCCTTTATAGCCGAGCAGTCACCATTAGACGCTTCAAAGCGCTTCCATCGGGTCAACACTGCATGGAACTTCCCCACCATCTGCTTGCCAATCGCAGGTGCTGCCGAGGTGATTCCAGAGAGGAGAGTCGTGCCAGCAGGGACAAATGCGAAGTCAGGGTCGCGGAAAGCGCGGCGCAGGACGGCTGTGGCAAGTAGGCGTCCAGGTTGACTCTGGTCGGAAGGCCATGATTCGGACAGTGCAGACCAGATTGCCGAAGCATTATCCGGCGTAAGATAGGTGACGCCGAGGTCATAGTCCTTGGCGAGTATGGCGGCGATCGCCGCGTCCGCAGAAGCACTCCCGCTATTGGGCGACCACTCATCATCGAAATCGACAACTCCAGCTGGTCTCTCGCTGCCGCTGGGCTGCCCGAGCGAACTCTCGACGGCCACGTGCTCCTCATCGGATGGATCTGAGTCGTACGCGGATAGCGTCAAAAACCGCAAGCGTTTGTGCCATTTAGGCCCGCGAAATATGCCATGACCTAGCAGGGCGGTCACGAACGCCTGAGAGTTCTTCATGCCGGCCCGATAGGAAGTAGTCGACTCGCGAGGAACGAGACATCCTGTATCGATCCGTGGTACAACAGTACCCCCAGAGAGAAGGAAATCTCTGAAACGCTGCTCGAGCGATTGCAGGCTACTCGCTACACGCATTTCCGCGTCCGGGCAGATGCGCAAGACGGCGACCACGAGCTGTGATCCGGCGCTCAGGAATGCGGGATCATATGCGTGACGGCGCATAGCTGCCAACACGATGGCACCCGTGCGCTTCTTGTACCGTTTGCGCTGTTTCTTTTCCTCCATAGGCCCTGTCAAGAAGTCTGACGCACTCGCTAGTCTGGATGTAATCGTGTCGACGTTGACCGGAGAGACCAGCTGTATGGCCCTGTCATACTTGTCTTCTAGGAACATGCCGAGCGCGGCTTCAGCGTCAGAGGCTGCGCTGTCAGGCAAGGAGACGACGAGGGCGGGTGCGGCAACACTCGAAGCATCAATCGTCGGACCCGATGCGCGTTCGCGGATCCTCGCAGGCGATGTTATGGGTGGATAGTCGTGGCCCGCTCCAGTATAGTCGGGCTGCGGCTTGCGTCCTTCGGGAAGGTCCGGAGGAGGGGATGATGCTACCGTGCAACTGTGTGTTTGCGAGAGCGGCGACTGCCGCATCCATGCATATTCTCTGAACAAGCCTTGCTCCAGGAGCCATGAGATGAACGCTTTGCCATTCTTGATAGCAACCCCGTAGGCCGCAGACGAGGCGCGAGGCATAATAGAACCCGCATCCCCCGGTGGTAACTCTGCATCATCGAGCAAAAACCCTTTGAAATGCTCATCGAGACATCGCAATTCGGAGGCAAGCCTGTGTTCTACGGCCGGCTGAAGCCGTACGAGTGTGCACACAAGGTGTACGCCAGCAGGTATGAACTCGTGATCGCGAACGCCTCTGCGCATGGCCGCTACGGCAATCGCGGTTGCGCGGTCTTCGTAGACCGCCGGCGTTGCAGCAGTGCCGGACAAGTAACCAGGTATCCTGAGCAATCGGCGCGTTATCGCTTTACAATTAGCCGGCGTAACAAGCTGCACCGCATCATCGGGTTTCTGGGCAATGTACAGGGCTGTACTTCGATCGACAGGACTATCGCCATCATGTGATGCACCTGAAGCAAGGGCAGCGGAAGGTGATACAGAGAGACGATGATCAGATGAGGGCTGCTCAAGGCCAGGTGTGATCTCGTTTTCGACAGAATTTTCCGGCTCAGAGACGTGCGCTAGAGAAGATAGTGTAGGCAAAGGGCCAAGATCATCCACAGGGGGGTTCATGATCCGCGAGAAATGTGATGCGACAGCGACCTCTGTTGCAGCGAGACGTTCTCGAAAGATGGCCTCCCGCGCATGGAATATACGCATCATATCCTCCGGCTCAAGTTTCCGAGCCTCATCAACGGAGAGAGGCTCATCACGCAAGCATAGTGAAGTATAGGCCGGGATGTACCAGTGTGTGACCGAGCACACCCTCGCGCTCATGAGCTTGACTACTGGGTCTGCAAGAGCCTCTAGACGGCTGAGGGCTATGTCGCGTAACCCGTCGAAGCCCCATCGTGTGGCTAGGTAGAGGATCGAGCAACAGTCAGCTGTGCCCATATCGCCTGCGCTGTCTCGCATAGAGTAGCTGAAGAGGCTATCAGATTCATCCTCCCCAGCCTAGCTTGTCACGTACCGCCCATCAACTGCAGCCAGAAACACGTCGATCTCGGCTTGAGCCATGCTCGCATGGTGCTGCCCGGCGTTGATAAGTTCGTCTATCCAATCTTCTGAGGGTAGAGAGGAGTATTTGACGAGGTCTGTCTTCCTGATGTTATAATGTAGTCCATGAAACTGCCGCATGCGTCTAAATTAGGTCCCGATAGTTCAGAGAGGGATAAGTTACGGTCACCCACCTGATAACCAACGGTCGCTCCTGACTCGCACATCGCGCTTAATGTCCAGAGTTGATACTAGAACGAGGCACAAGAAGATACAACAGGCAGACTTCTATGCACTGGCCGAGGACGCAACGAGGTGATAGTTCTTATGAAAGTGGTCTGAACGGCGTAGGTCATGACTTGCGCCAATTGTACGCGCCCTCAGGAGCGGTACTCACGGGAAGGGTCACCAGATCACCAGCGCCAGATTGAACGCCGATAGTGGCCTAGAGTGGCCAGGCATTGGCCTGTTCGGATGTGCTTCTGTACACATGAGAAACCGCGTGTTGTAGGAGAATCGAAGACTCGTTCAATCGAGTAAGAGCGCTGACGTAGGATCACGCTTCGAGCAAGTTGCGATAGAGCACCAGTTCGGATTGTACACAAACGGTCTAAGGATGCGGCTGGGTCATGTCCCACAGCTGGCTCAAAGCATCGTGCTGGCAAGAGAGAAGAACAACTTCGCAAGGACGGGGCACGGATGCCAGGGCCGAGTTTCAGACGTAAGTACGCGGTCACGCGAGTTCATTCTCGCGTGACCCGGAATCGCCGTCGTTACTCGAAAGACAGGCGCTTCGGAGGTATATGTGCACACATAAGTAGGGGAAACTTGAGAGCATCAGTTCCCAAATGTGTTAGGATACACAGTACATCACGAGCACAGGTCGCTCCACACGTTTCTGTAGTATACATCCAGCTACGCGAGGCCTGCACGGACTGTTGCAGCCCACTCCGCGTCGACATGCGGTACCCGCTCGAGGATATCCAGGATAAAGCTGCTTACATTCCCAGCGCGCTCCTTATATACCTGTGGGGCCATCCCGGGTGTCCGCCAGAGTCTTATGATCCTCCCCCCATCTGGATCTGGTGTCATGTCGGGACACCGACGGAACTTTTTCCAGTTTGCTACCACCCAGTCTATAGGCCGCACAAGCTCTTCCGCAAGCTCTGGTCGGGACTCGCACAGTGCAAGCAGGAAACGTCGACCAGCCCCGTGAAATTCGCGATCGTCGCAAGCGCGACGGAGTAGAGCAGAGAAAAGGTTGCTGTAGGATATATTCGGTTGACCATTCCTGTCAAGATGCGCGAGATAGCTTCGATGAACGTCGTCAACGTTAGCTCCCGTTATCCATGCAAAGCCGGCATCAGCGCGCCCGACGGTCAATCGTTCGACTATAGTGTCAACGCTGGGTTTGTCTGTCGCATGCAAGCGTGACCATGGGAAGCGTGCAGAGTGTTGCGAGGTCTGCGTGTCCATGTCCGGTGGGTGAGACTGGGACGAGATGGATGTAGGCAGATGACGAATACCAATCCGCGCAGATGCACCTCGGCTGCCAACCGGGGTTGGCTCGTGCACAGGCGGTGATGGCATAGACGTAAGAGTGCTTTGACGGGTGAGAGTATGCGCGTGTGCCGCCCACTTCCACTCCCGTACAAAGCCCCGGTCAGCGAGGATAGCAATAAACGTCTGTCCGTTCGCCATGCATGTTCGATATGCCTCCGGAGTTAGGCCCGATGGCATAATTTCGCCCTTGTCCTTGCGTGGTACGGCACCCGTTTGTATGAACTGATCCCACCGGAAATCGAGAGATTGTAGGTAGGGGGACAGACTGTCGTGATAGTTTGGCCATTGGCGTCTGAGGAAGTCCAGGATGGCGCCAACAAATTGACCAGCGACGGGTACGAAGTCGCTTTCGCGCACGCTGCGCCGCAGAGCAGCCACGATGAGATCTGCCCCGCGCCGCCTGTACGTGCGTCCTTTACTTTCTGTCCCTGAAAGTATGTTGGGCGCTTTAAGTATATGTGCCACAACCTCGCCAACATTCTCCGGGCTAAGCAGCGCAACGCCATCATCGAATCTCCCCGATTTGAAGTAAGATATATCCACAGCGCCCACTGCCATTTCTTCGCGTCTTTCCGCCTCTTCGTGCTGCGGCACATCAGGCGGGCGCGAGATAGATTCGGGGAATGGACTGGAGAAGATGATAGCCTCGTTGGCTATAGAGGACGATAGAGGAAGTTCTACCGGCAAGGGCGTTTGAGAGGTGGGGTTGGTGCGCTCTGCCAAGTCTCCATTCGAGACGACCTCCATGAAGTGTTCCGTCACGAACTCCTCGCGCGCAGGCAGGCGGTGGCGGAAGATGTTTTCGCGAGCGGAGAAGATGCGCACGACGTCCTCGGCATCGAGCTTCTGCGCCTCGGCGACGGTTGCAGGGTCGCAACGCAACGCGAGGTGCGTGTAGGCTGGCACAAGCCAGTGAAGAATGCGATAAGCTCGGGCAATCATGAGCTTCTCCAAAGGCGCCAAAAGCTTATCCAGGCTCTCGATGGCAAGGTTCCGCAGCGCCTCGCACTGCCAACGTGTCGCTAGGCGAAGGATCGCACACCGCGCGCCTAACTTGATTTCCGACATCCCGTTGGTTCGCCACGAGTCGCTGGATGGTGGTTTGAGCGGGCATAGGCATGCAACGTCGCTGCGCTACGTACCGTCCTTCAACGGCTTCCAAGAACACCTCTACTTCGTCATGAGTAAGACCATGTTGCTCAGCGTTCATGAGTTCGTCCAGCCAGGTGCCTATTGGTGCGGAGGAGTGCTGCGCGAGGAGCGATAGATCTACTCTGAGATTGCGACCATCGACCTAAGCCCGTCGTCAGAAGATAGCCTGGCTCGTATTGATGATAACGCACGGACCGTGAATGACAAGACTTCCGCCATCGCTGTCGCTGGAGAGGAGATCACGGGTGCGAGAGGTGTAGTAACACCGCTCCGGGTTCACAAGATGGGTGCTGAGTAGCTTCGATGTATTACAATGTCGACTTTCGCGGGGTGAGGCAAGTCGGATAAGATGGGACAGGCGAAAGGAGGGTAGACCCTCGAATTCAGTCACATGGAGATTCCAGTAGATTATATGTGGTCCGCATTTTCATCTCTAGACACTTATGCAGATGAGAAGTTGCTGTGAGACGATTGAACTCTGCCTATTGGGGACTCTTCTGCTTCCCGTGACTGTAGCAAGATCGAAGCTCGAAGCCCGGGAAGCTCGAGGTTGAGCCAAGCCTGTTAGTGGAGGAAGCACTTAGTGCGGCTCGTTGATTTCCCTCCGTATACAGGGCCGAGGTCTATAAAGTCACTGGATCCATCCCTTCTGGCATAAGACATCGCGGATTGAGATGAGGATGTCGAAGCAAGGGATTGCATTCTGATCGGCATTCGGCAACCGTGGGATCAAGAGAGATGTCTCTACCCTTGCCCTACCCACTCGTGTACGGTGCGCAGGTTCCAGCGAGATATGACGGCGTTGAGACCTATTCAACGTATACCAGTTGCACAGCTCATCGACGAAGGTGAGGGAAGCCGCGCAGTAGGCGGGGCACCTTTACCGGCGGCCATTGCCGTGATCCGTGCCCACGAGGCCGACCAGACCGAGGTCCGTGGTCCAAAAACAACCTTCAATACAACAGCCACTGTAGTCCCATCAAGTCAATCTCATCAGACTTTGTTGGCTAGAATAGTTGCCTGTGCAGCGCACTGTACATTTCAATGCATCCTGCAGGTTCGAAGAGTCCCAGTAGTGGGTGGCGGTGACGGTGAATCGGAGAGAAAGCACCGGACTTCTTGTGCGGCAAAGCGTGCTTGTTCGAATGTCGGGATGGTGGTTACCGCGGCACGCGTGCAATCACCGCCAAGTCGGCAACGTACATATTATTGAACGTGGGGTTCGTTCCTTCAGCCATCTGCTGGTCCTGCCTCCTTGGCTGTCGGTGTTCTTGCGCGCGTCGTCTGGGCATACACTCTCTTCGACATTCTAGCAGTCCCTCCTTATAGCCTATGGCATATCCGTACTCGGACACTGGTCACGACCACGACACGCATTCGCATAGCACTGGCGTAGACAATCCTTATGAACACCTAGCACCACTATCTGCATCCGCCCGGTCGGTTGGTTTCGCCGCAGACCCTGATCCGTTTGCCTCTACGCCGTCCCTGCACTCTACGCCGTCCGTCCAATCCTTGCGCACCGACCCATTCGCTTCAAGTACATCGCTGGCGAGCACCATCACCTCCCGCGAGCATGATCTCGGCACACGCGAAGGCGCTACCGAGGAGGAGGATGACAGCATTATGGAGAAGGAGCCTCTGACGAAGAAATACTCTGTGTCGCTGAGCGACTCGCAGTGGTCTTCGAACAACGCGGGAGAGGACAGCAATAGCGGCTATTACCCGCCGACAGAGTGAGCCTCATGTGAACTTGACCCAACTGACCGCGCTGAGCGCTGATCGCGCTCCAGGCAGGACACATACTCATTACCGCGCAACCCACGAAAGCGGGCAGAAGCGCGTCGGGAAGGCATCGAGAGCGGCTGGCGCAGGCGGCAGACGATCAAGCGTGGCGTGACAAAGAAGGTTAAGCTCACCAAGGGTCACTTCATCAACGACTACCCGGTCCCGACGGCGGTGTATACAGGAATAGAAGGGAAGTGGAGGGACGATGTGAAGAGCACAGAGTTCTCGTGCGTGTCTGTATTGTATGTGCCTCGCTTCATACTGACACTGTGCTAGACATATGCGCTATACCGCCGCCACCTGCGACCCGGACGAGTTCACAGAGGAGAACGGATGGTCTCTTCGGACGAAGCTTTACAACCGACAGACCGAACTCCTCATCGCCGTGACGTCTTACAACGAAGACAAGGGTCTATACTCTCGTACGCTACATGGCGTCATGGAGAATGTACGGGATATCTGCCGCACAAAGGCGACGAAGTACTGGAAACGATCGGCGGAGGAGGGTGTGCCCGGTTGGCAGCGCATAACCGTAGCACTCGTAGTGGACGGTCTCGACGCCATGGACAAGACGGTGCTTGATCTCCTAGCGACTGTGGGCATCTATCAGGACGGTGTGATGAAGAAGAAGGTTGACGGGAAGGATACCGTGGCACACATATTCGAGGTATGCCATACTGTACACAACCTGATTCTTGAGCTGATAGCTCGTATAGTATACCACTCAACTCTCCATCAACCAGACACCGGAACTCGTTCTACCACGCGGCGATGACCCGGAGAACCTTGTGCCCGTGCAGTTCGTCCTGATCCTGAAGGCGCAGAACCAGAAGAAGATCAACTCCCATCGCTGGCTCTTCAACGCGCTTGGCGGGATGCTGCAACCCGAGATCTGTGTACTTATTGACGCCGGTACCAAGCCAGGACGTAAGTCGATCTACCATCTTTGGGAGGCCTTCTACAACGATCGCAACCTCGGCGGGTGCTGTGGAGAGATCCATGCCATGTTGGACGGCGGTCGCAAGCTATTCAACCCCTTGGTCGCCGCGCAGAACTTCGAGTACAAGATGTCGAACATCTTGGATAAGCCACTCGAGAGCTCATTTGGATACGTCAGCGTGTTGCCCGGTGCATTCTCCGCCTACCGGTTCCGCGCCGTGCTGGGCCGACCACTGCAACAGTACTTCCACGGTGACCAGTCCCTGGCGTCGCGTTTGGGAGACAAGGGTGTGCACGGCATGAACATCTTCACGAAGAACATGTTCTTGGCCGAGGATCGTATCCTGTGCTTCGAGCTTGTCGCGAAGGCGGGGCAGTGTTGGACGCTTGCATACGTCAAGCCCAGCAAGGCTGAGACGGATGTGCCCGAGAGCGCGGCCGAACTCATCGGCCAACGTCGTCGATGGTTGAACGGCTCCTTCGCTGCCAGCATTGTGAGTTCGTCGTGCACTGTATCAACCATCGGTATCTGACTAGCATTGCCAGTACGCTATTGTACATTTCTTCAGGTTGTATCGGTCGCGGCACAACGTCATTCGCATGATGTTCTTCCACGTACAAGCAGTCTACAACATCCTTACGCTCTTTTTCTCATGGTTCGCACTTGCTGTGAGTATCCTACCCCTTCGTCTCAAATCATCCCCGATCCTGAACGCACCTTATAGAATCTGTACCTGGCTTTCACGACTATCATCGACCTGGTTCCCGACCTGAATGTGTCGGTATTCAACACGAACAACGCGGCAACTTTCGAGTACGTTAACCAGGTCCTGCGCTGGGTGTGGGTCATGTTCTTGTCCCTACAGGTGTGTCGATATACTCCCCCTGTTTACTTTTCCCTGCTGACCCTGCCAAGTTCATCCTAGCGCTGGGTAACCGACCAAAGGGAGAAAAGGCGGCGTATGTTATCACGTTCTTGTCAGTCTATCTTCCTCTGCTACTGCTGTAAGCCGTCACTAACAGGTCCACAGGGTCTACGCTATCTTGGCAGCGTACATGGTGGTTGCATCCATCGCGCTGACCATAGACGGCTTTGTGAAGATTCCCTCTGAACTTGCGGGGACGCATGGATTCGTCGGGTTCATGAACGAGTTCTTGAAGCCTCCTGTTGGCTCGCTGATCATGGCGAGTGTCAGCACGTTCGGCATCTACTTCCTGTCTTCCCTGATCTACCGGGATCCTTGGCATGTGCGTCCACTCCTTATCCTGTTTGCCTGAGGCTGTAGCTGACTCGTAGATAGATGTTCAGCAGCTTCTTCCAGTACCTCTGCATCGCGCCCAGCTTTACCAACATCCTCAACGTCTACGCATTCTGCAACTTGCACGATGTCTCCTGGGGTACCAAGGGAAGCGACACCGTCGACGCGCTCCCGGAAGTATCATCGAAGAAGGTTAAGAACAAAGCCGACGACAATCGCGCGACCGCCATCGTGGAGGACACCTACCGCACGCAGCAAGATCTTGATGCTGTGTTCCAGGAGACGTTGCAGCGTGCAGTGACGCCTCTTGAGGAATCCTACCGCACGGACAAGCCGACGCTGGACGATCAGAACAAGACGTTCCGTACTCGCCTTGTTGTCGCATGGATGCTCACAAACGCGCTCGTTGCGCTTGGTGTCGAGAACGCGGACGGTCTCGTACTGCCGCTGACACAGGCGAGGCTCGCGGTGGTCGCGAAGGATTGTGGAGACCCGTCTAGGGATCTCGCGACTTGCTTGAACGAGGAGTTGCTGGGTCAACAAACGGAGCTGTCAACAAGGCAATCGTACTACTTCTCCTTCATCCTGTACGGCACGTTCTTCCTAGCGCTCGTGCGCTTCTCCGGAGTACGTACCCCTCCCGCGCACTTCTTCGATCCGCCCACTGACGCAATTCCACAGTGCATGTTCTACTTCTTCAGACGCAATCTCTTCCGCTGTTGCCGGAGGAAGTGATGCCGTCTTGGTGCTTAGATTTTTACGGGGTTTCCGGAACTTGGACTTTATACCGTGCTCGTCGGCGTTGTGTTGTTGTCGTTTCATTCGTTGGAGTTGGGGCACACTCGGAACACTCGGAATACCCTATCTATGTATTATTCACTCGCACTTGTTATATACCAGACTAGACCATGCAGTCATAACCTGCCATCATGCTCCACAGTACGATGCGACTGCGGTCGCAAACCGGTAAACGCGCGTACTTATGTACGCGTATGTCACGCGACCGTGTTAAGCGCTCATAGGCCTCGTTGCGCGTTGCGTCGCGTCCTCGATCCTTCTTACGATCTACTTTCACCTGTCCACCGCGTTTTTGTCTGCTATCTCACCGCTCTCCGACGTAAGGGCCGTCTCAACGTATCTCAGGGTATCTCCCGGGTGTCAACTGTTTTGCTACTAGTCTTCCGACCTAATAATACACGACCTGTCAATCATGAACAACCGCGCAACGTCTTCGCGACTAAACAACTATCACACACCAAAGCGCCAGCTTCTCGGACATACCGGCCCAGCACCAGCTTGGCGCAATGATCCTAAACCGGGTGCGTCGGGCTCGGCTGCGCGCGCAGACGCGGGTAGCAAGATTCTGGTCACGAACTTGCCATACGATGTGGGCTACGACGAGCTCAAGGTGCTTTTCAGTCAGGAGATTCTCCTTTCACGTGTCGCGTGCTCAAACTTAGTATAGCATCTATTTGAGAAAACTGTTGGGCCGTTGAGAGATCTCTATGTCATATACAACAGTCAGGGGCGGTCGAAGGGGCATGCGGTCGTATACTTTGCACGGGGTGGCGACGCGAGTTTGGCACGGCAGAAGTACAATGGGAAAATGATTGACGGACGTGCGTACTTTCTTCACCCTGTATATTGACATACTCCTGACTGTAATACCGCTCAGGATTGAAGTTGAAGGTGGAAATTGTCATTGACGGCGACGCGCCTGGGAACCAGGTTGCACCAGCGCCACAACAACCTGCACTACTCGCGCGTCTGGCGCCTGGTCCCTCGACGCCTTCAGCGCCCGCCGCAATGATCAAAGCTGCTAAGGCTCTACAGGCGAAACAACCACCGACCGCGCCGTGAGTCTATATCCGACTTCCATGTCATCCCAGCTTAACCGTTCCCGCAGAGCCGCAGCAAAGAAACCTGTACAGCCAGTACAAATACCCGTGGGCGGCAGGAGACGCATCAAGAAGGGCGCAAAACGCGCAGCGAAGCTGAAGCGGCCGCCAGTCGACCATGCTATGCTCGACCAGGAGATGGACGATTATCGCGCGGGCGCTTCTGAGGTGTAGCACCCTGTGGCGTTAGGCGTATTCCGTGCGGGTTACATCTCTTTCGGGTCTGGCTCCGGGCGTTCGTTCATGTCATCGTTATTTGTGCTATCAGAGGGTTCTATTTCTTGGCGTGTACTTGTGTGTGTTGCCCGGCGCGATCTGGTGCGGAGGGCATTCTCCGAGACGTCGTAGATTCTTGAAGATTGCAAACAGCAGGGTCTAGTTGATCCAGCGTCAGCGCCTAGTATGGATACGTTTACCTTGCTCTCGGTGATTCCGGTTAGGACTGGGAATAGCTTCTGAGTACCAGATAGACATCCTACTAGTACGCACAGCATGTGTATCTGCTTGGCATCTGGCCCCGTCAGATATCTGAGCGCGAGTGCGGATGCGAGAGCATTTGGGTTGTCTCTATGGCCAGAGCTAAGTACCACCACTGCTTGTGACAGTACGTATCAATCACAGCCCGGAAATGGATAGGCTTCGATCCGACTCATCTCCTCAGACTTCCATTCTTGCCATCCTGATAGTCTTGCTCGGGGCCGCCTACAATGGTATCGCAAGAATGAATACGAGAGCAGACGGATCTGGTCTGTGCGGCCTGACCAAAGAGCCGTCATCATCAACATAAGTTCTCGACAGATCTCCCTCGTGCGAGAGAGATAGAGTAGCGCCATTCGCGTGTCTTCTAGTACCCGTAGTCCATGTGTACGATCCCATCAACGTCCGCGGGTTGTCGCCGCGATGCCGCCGATGATTGCCAGAAACTGTCCGACCAGCGCACGATTCAGCGCTTGAGGCGTGAATTCCCGCTACGCTAGTAGTGGGTCTTGCCCTCGTGAATTCAACACTTGAAAATGGCTCAGGTTTCAAATCCCACGTAAATGTGCCTGGACTCGGCTCTTGCCGGGGTCATGGGTTCCGCTCGCAGATGCTTGCGCTCACCTCGAGTCGTTTGTCGTCTTCATACCTCCATCCCTGCTCACTATACCGCGACAAACTCGCCAACTGCTGTTGAACATGACTACCTTGTCCCCATGCACCCCCAAGCGGGCCCTTCTACGTACACCCATGCGGGTCGCTCTACACACACACCACC